AGGCACATCTTCCTATTTGACTTGGCAGTGATCGTATGCAAAAGGAAAGGCGATAACTATGAAATGAAGGAGATAATAGATCTTCAGCAGTACAAAATCGCCAACAATCCTACAACTGATAAAGAAAATAAAAAGGTAAAATCTGGGAAATTCGTAACTCTGGTTTACTCAGGACTTTGAGCATTCGAGGGACGTGTGCTTGTGCATTCGTGGGAGGGGCGGCATATCGACTCGGGTGTTTTTGTTTCTGGAAATTGGTTAGGGGAAATAGTTGGACAGTGTCCCAGCTGATGTGTTCATCTCTAGAGCTCAATGATCAAGGCAGTAAAAGGCATTTGGCATAGGATCGGTTATAGGTGTGAAGTCGACTACAGTAATCTTGATTGACCAGTTTGTTAATGTTATGAGAGGTTTGCAGATGATGAGGGTGACGTTTTAGTGAGTTTAGGAGCATGACGTTATTAGTGAATGATCTGTATTAACCTGAGGAATATTCATTTCAACAGTGGTCTTATGGCTTCTACCTCATCCATACCCAAGGACACAATGGGTTAGAATTTTATTGCAAAACAAAAGACTTAAAGAAGAAATGGCTGGAGCAGTTTGAAATGGCTTTGTGAGTATTTCTACTTTTAAAAGTGCTTTTTTTCCTTCTTATTACTTAACTCTCTTATGAATCATGAACTACTGGTAAATGTATCTAGAGCTCCCAGCCAGCATACAGAGGCTGTGGGGGGCACTTGGCAGGAGCCCCCGGGGACTGCTGGCTCTCCGCTTGGTGACTGGTCTCTGAGGACAGAGATTGGGGTGAATTTCTTCAAGACAAAGAAAGAGGGAGCTCTAGCCTTCTGTTTGACTTTTTTCTTATGGGTGTATTTTAATTCTTTAGCTTTCAGCAGCCCATGGAAATAATTATTCTGATGATAAACTTTTAATGTCATTACCATATTTTTTATTATATATGCATTTTTAAATTGAATAGAAATTACTGCCCTCAAACACACACACACACACACACACACATCCATGCACATAACCTCACTTTTAACGGAAAGGTGGACCACCTCCCACTGTTTGTTTTAACTTATTTATTGTTTGCATCCTGGGGAAATTGTTTTATGTATTTAATGAATGTTTTAAGAGCTGGGTTCCTTTCAGGGCTCTTCCCTTTGATTAAAGTGGAAGCTCAACGAAGAGGTGGGAAATAATTCAGACCTGCTTCCAAAGGATTGGTGTAAAGGGATGTAATTACACAAGAACATGTCATTACAGGGGTTTCTTTTCAGTTTTGATGTTTATGGAATAGAAGTTGCACGATGACCCCGGTTATGGAAATGCATAGGTCACCCTGACATTGAAACTGGTAGCAAAAAAGTAGAATTAAGAAAAAAACAACAACACTTTTGTGGTCAGCTTCATTTGTATTCTAGCATTACTTAGCATTTGTAGACAAATTCTCTCAGGGTTTTTTTTTTTTTTTCTTTCTTTCCTGTTTTTTCTTTTGCTTTGTTTTAAGGAGTGCTCATGGAGGTAGGATTACATTGTTCTATTGTAGTTCTGCAGTGAGAAAATTGCGGTTTTCTTAAGATTCTTTCATGTAGCATTTTGAGTGATAGGATTGTGCAGCTGACATATTTTTAGGCTTACAGACTATTCTGGATTCCGTGCTGATCACCGCCGTGCGCTGGCTGTGTAGTCCTAGCCGAGGTATTTAACAGCTCAGAGCCTCCGTTTCCTCCTCTGTAAAATGGGGATGAGAGCAATCTGAATTGCGGAACATACGTATCAGGCAGAGGGTGAGCCAAACGGCACAACGGCAGTGACGCGGTGGCTGCCTGATCAGCGCCAAGAGCAGTGGCGGTGGTGCAAGAGGAGAGGGGGGAATGAAAATTCTGGAGCTTGGGAGGGGCCCGGGGACCAGGCTGCACTGTCATGTTAGTCTTCAGGGGCAGCCCCTGAGCTTTGTTTCCCAGGTGAACCCCTGAAAAAGGAGTGTTCCCCACGGGATGGGGGCAGGAGGTGGGAACCTAGCCGTTAAACTCCACAAATCGCGTTTAATCTGAGCCACAGCGTTTCTCTTTAATTTATTCTGCACTTATGTCCAGAAGGAATCCGAGGTCACCGTAGAAAGCACTCAGGCCACAGAATTAAAAAGGAGAATTTCAATGATCAGAGGTCATTCGGAACAGTGTCTCGAAGCCCTTTCCTCGGACTTGGGCTCCACTAGACAGGCACCTTTTCCTGCCGTTTACCTTCTGCAGTTTGTATCCTAAAAGCAACGGCTCTGTTTTTCACATTTGTAAATATAAAATTATATTTCATCAAATGTAATTTGATTTAATCTAAAGCTATGGCTCGGATATTCTGGATGCCGGAGAGGTAATGACCAGAGGAAATTGCGTTCTTTCTGCAAGTATTTATGGAGCACTTGGCCTTGTTTCCAGACACTGTTGGAGGCCTGGGCATCTAGCAGTGAGGGGGCTGTTGCAATTGAATTTAAATACTTTGACTTCTAAATATAATCATTTTCGGTTAATGTATAATGGATTGAGTTTCAAGACCGAGTTCTTGATATTGCTATTGAAACCATCCCTCCTCCCAATCCATTTACTCGGTTATAAATAGGCGGAGGCCCAAGAGTCACCCTCTGCCTCTACACGGAACCAGTTTCTCACCACTCGCTGCGGACTAAACCTGACCCGTTCGTAATTTTCATGCTCACCTCCCGCATCTCTGATTAGCGCCTTCATTCCTGGCCCCTCCCAACCAGTCCCTTCCTCAGGAAGCATCCGGGGGGATCTGACTGGGTCCTGCCCTACCTAAAACCCTTCCTTGGCTGTTTATTGCTTTCGGTATAGTATCAAAGTTCGTAGCAGGGACCTCAGAAGGCCCTGCGTGGCTTTACCCACCCGTCTTCCCAGCCACATCTCGGGAGTTCCAGGGGCTCCATGTGCTGTAGTCAGAGTGAGCGGTTTCAGTTCTGGAACAATGCCCCGGTCGCAGGTGCCCACCCCTTGACTGCTGCCCTTTGGGCAGCTGGTTCTGTATCCTACAGGCCTTGGCTTTAAATGTCACTCGGTGAATGAGGCCTCTCCTGCCCCCTGTGCTGAACGAGCGGCCTCGCCCCTGCTGTCTTCTCTCACCGTGGTAACTGGACGGCTGGACAGAATTTCCCCGGGCGCAGCGTTCACAGCTCTCCTTCCACCCAGCAGTCCCCGTGCTTGTTACAGAGAATCTGTCGCTTACCTGCTCAGTTTTACCTATCTTTTCTCCCCCTGAAGAGTAAAGATTCTTTCTTGTTTATTAGAAGAAAAGCTAAATCGAACTACGTGGCTAATACTGGGAGAAAGGGGAAAAGACACTGTTATGGGTCTGGGAAATGGAAAGGGAGTTTTGGGTTTTTGTGTGAGTGAGGCCCTGGCGAATAACGGGGTCTGGGGGATTTGGAAGGGGAAAGGGGCCTTTTGAAATGTATTTCCATGGACACTGGATTATATTCTTTTTTACGTTCTTTGAAATGCTAAGTGAAGAATAAAATTGCTTTTCGGCGATTGCGGTTGCACCGTGGGCGCCTCCGGCCAGAGTGCGCCAGCCCGGCCCCCGGGACCCGGAGGATGAAGCTGCGCGGGTCACACGGCAGCTTCGGGCTCAGGAGCCGGTCGCGCCTCCGGAGAAGGTGGTCTTTGTTGTTGATTGATGGGAGACCCGTATTTATAATATCAAAGGTTGGGCGGCAACTTTTGACATTCTGTTGTGCAGATTTAAAGACTTTGTTTATATTTTCTGCCCAGATGGAGGTCCTCCAACATCTCCAGAGCTAAGCAGAGGACCTGTAGCAAACCCAGACGCCCCGCTGCTCATGCCCGCAGGATGGGGACGCTGTTAGTTCTCTCTCCTGCTGTCCTTCCTTCTCTTCATTTTCTCTTATCAGGAGGTCTGTTTGGATCTCCTCAGGGATATAAATGAGTATCTGCTGAGGCTAAAATTTTGTCTCTTAGAACAGGGGCCAGTATACTTTTTCTGTAAGCATCCGGAGAGTATATACTTTAGGGTGTGTGGACCGTAGGGTCTGGGTCTCAGCTATTAATTCTGTCATTTCGTAATAACACAGCCAGAGATAATACTTAAATGAGTGGGTGTGCCCTCGACCAGTTACAGGCGGTGGGCGGGCTGGACCTGACCCGTCTTACAGCACGAGGCCTAAGGACGTGGAGGGAGTGTGTTGCCCTGAAATGATCTCAGCTGTCCTGGAATCACAGTGTGGCCTTCTGTGGAAGGGTGCTTTTTTGCTTTTCTTTTTAGTAGCACTAATTCCTATGTAGGCCATCACGATGCCTTAGCTACAGAATGTTCTCTCCTCCATCAGAACCAAACCACAGGGATGAAGGATCTGTATTTGGCATTATTTTGTTCTGTCCAACTGAATATCAAAAATATCTGCTCAAAAAGACCAGGCAGCACCTACTCAGAGATCTGGTTTCATTAAGCTTTATTACATGGCTATCGGAAAGGACAGTGAAGCCACCGAATCAGGCCATTAAGGACAGTCCGGTGAGCTTTTCTGTCCTCAGTAGTCACCCACGTCAGCGAGGATAGTTCTGTAGTCAGTGTTCTCGAAGCGTTTTCTTCCCAGCAGTAATGACCTTCATGCTTGTGATTTATTCTGAACTTTCCTCCCTGGAGAACTAGAAGAGATGAAGGGAGATGATGCTGATGGTTCTGAGTATTATAAGGAAAATTTCAGATTCTGATTCCTCTGTGTTAGAGTATTTGGGGTCTGGTAACATATAAGGATAATTCCTTGCTCTTACAGAGTGCTTCATAGTTTCCAAAGTGTCCTTAGATAATACCGCATCCAGTTCTTACAGGGTCCTGTGAGGTATCCAGGAAGGTATTATCTTTAAAAAATTTTCAGAAAATGAAGGAGAGATTAAGTATTGCGTGTGTGTTTTTCAGTTAACAAGTGGCAGAGGCTGATCTTAAACCCTACCCAGAGCTTCTCCCCCTCACACCACGCTGTCCCCTTATAGCGAGAACACCAGCCGTCGTCCTTCAGAGGTGAAAGTTTCCTTCAGTTTGCTTTATAAGCAAGAGGTGTTCTCGGGTGGTGTAGTCACACCAGGTTTAGGACGAAATCCTTCCCACTTAGTGTTTTAGTTGCCGTTGGATAAGAATTGGATGTTTTCATACAATCAAATAATAAGTAACACTGTGCGTGTTATTTACAATTTGTAAGGAAGACTTGGGCTTCCAAGGATTTCCTTAGAGTCAGATAAATTAGGTTTTAATTTGCAAGTTAATCTATTGCAGGATTTTTGGTCACCTTATCATAGGGCTACACCTAATGTGATGTATGCATAGTTTTTTAAAAAAAAATTTTATTTGGTTGGATGGTGTTAATGTGATGTTCATCTCAGAGTTCAGATTCTCTTTTTAGAGGTAAAGGACCTGGGGAGGAACAGCCGCACGGCCTGAGACTAAGCCCTGGCCAGCTGTCAGGGTGGATTATGATGAGTTCTAAGTAAGTGTGGATGTTCGTTTCCGTCCAGTTACCTAGGTGACATGGGATGTGTGTCACGTAAGTCGCTGGAGGTGTGGGCACAGCATGACAACACT